AGAACCCTTTTTTAAGTTTGAAAATTGACTTCTTGAAATTGGTGCATAATTTACAGAAAACGCAGGTTTGAAGCTTCTTGAAGAAGGGCGTAGCAATGATGCAAAGAAAGTGACTACACGGGGTGGACCCCGTGGGCGTTGTCCTGGTCCTGTTGAAGTGCAGACCACATTAGAGCCAGCGTTGTTTGACATCGATCTCACTGTCAATAAGGTATCTTTGTGTATCCGACTTTCTATTATTTCAGTATCTTGATAACCTCTTTCACGGGATTCGTTTTACGAAGTTTTAATTACCGACTCGTCGGGCTTATTTTGCGTTTTTTTTTTAGCCATTTTTCGCTTATGTTTATTTTTTGCAGAAAACATTGATTGGTATTTGCGGAAGCGTGGGAAGTGGTAAAAGCTCCCTTTTACAAGCTCTCCTTGGCCAGGTTAGTCTTGCCAGTAGCCGGAGAAGATGACAAGAAAATCTTTCACTGTCTGCTTCATTCGTTGAATTGCTACTTTGACTTAAGCGTTAGTCCACCACTCCTCTCTGTTTAAAATTGACTTTCACGGCAAACGAGATCGAGCCCCGAAAAAGGAAGCACTTCCTTCTCCATGGTTAATCATTCATCTACTTGCAGAAAAATGTAGTCACAGATTGCGAGGGAATACTCAAAGGGTATTTTTTATTTTCCCTTTATGAGCTTCGTAAAACAGATATCGACGTCGAACCAAATTACTTACCCAAACCCGAGGGTGTCTCTTAACACATAAGACCTGATGGGCTTTTTCGATCATTGAATGGAAGGGGTCCTTGTCTTAACTGCTGTAGTGCATGAAATAAAGTTGTACTAATTCATTGCACCGCTTAGTTATCACATAGTCCAAGATGCATGGATCTAATGCATGCTGCTTTTTCAGATGAGGATTCAGAAGGGGAATGTAACCATTGGTGGATCCGTTGCATACGTTGCTCAACAGGTTAGTACCGTCTGACTGTACCTCCTGTACAGGTTAGTACCATGTGACTGTACCTACTGTACAGAAGAGTACCAAGTGACTGTATGTACTCTACACTGAGAAGAGTACCATGTGACTGTACCTTCTGAACAGGTTAGTACCGTCTGACTGTACATCCAATACAGAACAGTGCCGTTTGACCTCCAGCCTTTACATTAACGTGAAGGTTGGCGGGTAAAAACAATAAACCTGTCCATCTAATATCTCAATCTACTTCTACGGTACTTTCTAGTCATCTCGTAACTTAATTCGGTCTTATAGCTCCTGCGATGGTCCAGTCCACAATCAGTTTAGTGCATCGTGAGTAACGTGACTAGATTTTTGTATAAAACTTTCATAATTTGTGAGACACTCACAGGGGAAAATCGTAAACATGTGTGATCTTTCACGATATGTTATATTCTAGAGTTGACTCGCTTCTTATCCGAGGTATTGCACCTAACATGCTCAATGCTTGCGTTACAGGCGTGGATCATGAATGCCACAGTGAAGGAGAACATTTTGTTGGGTAAACCTTATAATGATGCAAGGTTAGTGAACCGACTTGATATCGCGTTCTTACAAGCCACAAAGACAAACTTATTAGTGGTATATGATATTTGGTTACTTTTTTTTTCTCTTTTTTTTTCCAGCTTTCAGTAAAAAGTAATTCAAGTGACCGCCAACTGACTTCGTTTTATGAATGTTCTGCGATGATGACGATTTTATTTTTATTTCACGTTTTTCTTTCAGATATAAAACGGCCCGTTTTGCCTGTAGTTTGGAGCAGGACCTTAAAATATTACCCAATGGTGATGAAACGGAGGTGAAAATTACTTTCTTCCCGTGTTTTATAATGTTTCGGTAATATTTTTTTAACAGGTGATAAAGTTTTACGACCGCTGCCTCAAAGGCTTTTCTGGCTTTTCTGAAAAGCGTAGGCTCCAGTTTGTTGGACGTCGAAAGGAAGAGATTTTTAGTTTGGGATATGGATACTTAACCCAAAGAGATAGATAAAGTGACGAGTAGTAGCTCAATTGACAGCAAAATTGCGAAAGTGATCATGATCCGTTGTAAATGATGTTTATTTCGCTTTGTGATTAGTCTTTAAACCTCTTGTTACCCCTCAACCAACCAGACGCAAGATTTGAACGGTTCCCGGCGTTTTCCCACGCCTTAAACCGCTTCGCTTTTGTTTCCTTTGAGTTGGAATTACCTCGTTTAGACATTTTCCTTTGATTAGTGCTGTTGTTGTGATAACCTTTGGTTTTGATCTTTGACACTCAAACAAATTTCACTCGTCTGTGATGATTTTCCACTGTTTCATGCTGTAGATCGGGGAACGCGGAATTAACCTGAGTGGAGGCCAGAAGCAGAGAATCAGTTTAGCAAGAGCCCTATACTATGACATGGTGAGCTGTTCATTCTGTTTTGAAAAGTGAAACTTGTATAGTTTTCGTCATCCAATTACACTCCGTAGAGTACAAATAACGCCCAAGACGAGTACAAATATCCCCGGGGGGGAGGGGACTCCCATATGAAACAGACGGGGATGCTCGTCGGAAATTTTGAATTTAACCCCTAAAGGAGACCATCTGGGCGTGGCTCGAGCTTTTTGTGACCCCTAAAGGAGACCCTCTGGGCGTGGCTCAAGCTTTTTGTGACCCCTAAGGGAGACCAATCTGGGCGTGGCTTAAGCAAATTTTGACCCCTAAAAGAGACCTCATTAATCGGATTATAATTCTCTCTACTATTTGTAGATATCTTTGATTTACAATCACAGAGGTAATACGGTAAACAAAACAGGTCAAAAAGAAAATTTGACTTCTGTTTCTCTTCGCATAATTCTGTGTTTCTTCGCGGAACCCTAAACGAGACCTTGGCGGCTTAATATATTGGCGCTTTGCCCGGAACAACCTAATTAGGCCTTTCTGGCCTCGTTCTCCAGTACAAAATTCAAAAGAATACATTATCTCAAGCGAGGCCAGAAAGGCTAATTTAAATTTAAACAAAAGAATATTAATCCGGCAGCCATTTATGAAAGTGGTCAATACTACACAACAAAACGTCCAGTAAGGTATATTTATTTATGGTTGTGACTTATTTGTGTCCATGCAGGATATATATTTGTTGGATGATCCACTGAGTGCAGTTGATGCGCATGTTGGACAGCACATTTTCAAGCACTGTATCAAAGGAGCCCTTTGGAATAAAACCATTCTTTTTGCAACACATCAGCTACAGGTACTCTAGGCTGTCACTTTGCAGTGTTGTCATATGTGGCAAAGCAGGTCACGGGATTGTCATATCTGGTTTTCCAGAACTGGTGAGGAATGGAAAATTGGTTGGAAATTTTCAACTGCTTTATTTCAGAGTAAAATTTTTATCAGTAAGTCGAATCTCACATAAAATGTGTTAGAGTCAAAATTGAGTTAATCCATAAAATATTCAAGTAAGGTATACATTGCATCGCTCTCTCTATGTGTTCAAAGTGCGTGGGCAGAAAAAGAAACGATTTTCTTGAAATAAGTCTTGAATTTTGCTCGCAAGAACGACTGAGAGCCCTGGACTGAAACACAGANATATCCCTGATACCTAAGACAACTCGAAGAGCGACATACAAATACAAGTTACAAAACAAAATGCGAGGAAGAAGAGGTAAGATTAACCTTTGTCATAAAGATAAATCTGGAAATCCGTCGTGATATCATTGTTACTTCTGTTGGTTTGAATAATCTGCTCTAGATCTAATTTCAATATATCAACAAAGTTGAAATGGTAAATTGGCCACCGTTACAATTATAAAAGCTGACGTTTCGAGCGTTAACCCTTCGTCGGAGCGAAGGGCTAACGCTCGAAACGTCAGCTTTTATAATCGTAACGGTGGCCAATTTACCATTAAACTTTATATATTGAAATTAGATCTAGAGCAGATTATTCAAACCAACAGAAGTAACAATGATATCACGACGGATTTCCAGATTTATCTTTATGACAAAGGTTAATCTTACCTCTTCTTCCTCGCATTTTGTTTTGTAACTTGTATTTGTATGTCGCTCTTCGAGTTGTCTTAGGTATCAGGGAAGTGAGCTGTTAAGGAATTGGCCGAAATTGTCCCAATTGCAATTGTATCTGTGTTGAGTAATACTCTAATAAGAATTATAGTTTATTCAGGTGATTACGGAAGCTGAAGCTAGGGATAATAGACACTTTTGTGTTCATTTTGTAGATTATTTTATATTTCTGTTCTTGATGTTATTTGTGACGGCTTGTCTCGGTGGACAGTTGTTTATTGATACGTGGCTTGGAATCTGGCTAAATGCAGCAGCTGAACAGGTTAGTTTGACGCCTCAGGCTGCTTATTACCTCCGAAAGCCTGAAAAGTGGGATTCTTCAATTGATTGTCGAAGGTAATCTGGGATATTATTAGACTCTTTTCCCTGCGGAGACCGATCTTAACCAATGGGAAACAAGCGTTTGTTTTCCCCCTTTTACCTCACTGAAGCTTTCAAAACCCACTAAATATTCTTTAAAAGTGCTCTTCTGGAAAAGCATGTCTCAATCTTACAGTAAGAAAAAAATTCGTCAAGCACTGACAGTGTACGAGGTCTACCTTGACCTACTTCATACTGGTGATTTTCATCTATAATAAAGTATTTTTTTCAAACTGGGCTTGCCCCTCAGATTTGATGCTTAAGACGGAAAAAGGTTCTTGCATAACCCAATTTCTACGGACCCTGACCACTTGCAGATCCTACCCTACAGTGTATTTAACCCAATTTGTAACAATCCCTTAGCAGTCGACGTATTCTTGTAAGGGGAAAAGCACTGAGCTCGCTAGGACAACTGAACTGGTTTGCAAACCTTCTGTGCCACCTAAAATGCATCTGATGGCAGAGTATTTTTCTTTAAAATCAACAGGAATTGTTTCCTCTATCAAGTCCTTGCTCTTCCAAATTGGAAGTTCAAACAACAACTTGTCGATCCAAGAAATAAAATCTTTGAAACTTTCGACTTACATATCTTAAGAATATAAGCTAAGTGCTCTTCTGGAAAAGCATATCTCAATCTTACAGTAAGAAAAAAATTCATCAAGCACTGACAGTGTACGAGGTCTTCCTTGACCTACTTCATACTGGTGATTTTCATCTATAATAATCATTAATAACTTCTGATCTCCAGTACTTCTTGTTCTTACATCTATTAAATGTAAAGGTGAAAAAAAGTGTACAAATACATTCCAGGACGTAATACCAGTATAAAACCGCATAAATCTGTCTTTCTCGCGAAAGTTTTCAACAGAAAAACAAACGTGTCCGATTTATCCTCATTCATATCGCCAGCATTTGCATGCTTTTGCCTTTCGTTTTCGTTCCGTTGCAATCTTTCACGAATTTCTATTAACTGAGCTGTTTCTGCTTGAAGATCAGTTTGTTGTTTCTCGATAACAACTCGTTTCCTCTCGCCTTGATGACAAGTTTTCCTTCGTCGCTTCTTCTTTGGTACTTCCAACGATTGACTTTTACGTTTGAAAAACAGACGGAACGGAATCTCCTATCAAGACGGTCTCCTTTCTTTTTCCATCCTCGCTAATCGTATAATCATCCTAGTGAGCAGACACGAGCGTTATCTATTTTAAAACTGTTTCCCTCGTCTCTGTGAAGTTTGCAAATCCAGCGATCTTTGTGCTCTTATTTCTTAGGAAAACAATGAAATTGCAAGTTCTTATTATTCTTGAAGCTACTAAGACAAAATGCTACACAGCAGTTATGTGGCATGTTCGTTTGCTTCCCGCGAAACAGTAGATATCTTCAGGTAATTCAGCTGCTGTAAGCGGCCTATACGCGCAGTTTCCAGTTCTTTCTCCATCGGACTTAGTTATGATATAACTTCTGGTTGAAATGAATTGATAAGTTTGAATTTGTTTAAGTAAATCATGTTCCATTAAAATCAATCTTAAATTTAAAGATTCGAGTCCATCCAAAACAGGAAATAATATTTTACAAAACCACATGTCATTAGTAGGATTTTACAGCAATTTAATCTTGCAAATTGGATAAATCAGGGTTTGATTCAAGAGGGCCACAGCTCAAGGTAGAGTGTACTTTTACATATAATGACTGATTTCGCATAAACCAAGTGCTTACCTCTTAGAACCTGCATCATATAACTGCTTCCACTCGAAAAACTGATGTGCGCGTTAGTAACAGTATACTCGATAAATAAATGATATGAAAATTGTTGCATAGACCAAGCTTTTGTGCGTCGATCAATTCAAAGCTTAAACATCCACCTCTTTCCCCCCCCCCCTCCCCCCGGGCATTTGACGCAGTCGTGTATATTTACTATTAAATTTAAGACATATTCCTCTTTCAACTTTAACGGTGTGCTAAAAAAAAAAGGTGGTGTTCAAAGAATCCATTTCACACCCTTGTATACTTTTGTATGCCCCAAGCAAAAGGTGTGACCTGACTAGTGCATCAAATTTCGCCTTGCTCATTGGCAACAGGGCGCTCAAAGTAATTTTTGTATACCCTAATCATATGTTTTTTGATGAAATTCTCTGATATTTCGATTAGACTTGATTCAGAGTGACCGAAGTTGGGAAAATATTACTTTCCTTTGGCATTTTATATCCGTACCCAGTAAAGCAAGAACAGGTGACGCCTTGCTTATTCGGTATTTGCCAAATTATTTCTCTTACAGCTGTGGTCGAATATCATTGGCAGTTTTGATCGCTAACCTCTTCCATCTTTCAGTTTTCATTTATTTTTACTGCGGTTTCCAATGTGATCCTCAAATGAAGTGCGTAAAATGGTAGAGACGAACTTAATAGTTGGCAGGTTGGCAAGTTGAAAAGTGACTCGAGGAAGTTTCACTTGTACAAACCTTACATGTACATGAGACTTGAAGCAAACCATGACGGCGGCGGCAACGAGAACTTGGAAAAACAATAGATCTAATTGGCAGAACAATAGCCCAGCACGTGCGTTTTAAAACTTTGTACATTCCTTAGCCGTCCTTTGCAAAACAACAACGTGAAATCACCAAAATTTGCGTCGTCTGCGAAGCGAAACCGCGGCGGCAAATTATTTTAATTTACATTTGGAACTCAACGCTATTTTTATGCGTTATGTTGAGTTTGAGGTCTGGCGCCCTATGAGACGGTAAACACATGCAGCCATTTTCGAAATTCTAACTAAAAGTAGAAACTCATTTTTTAATCAACGTCTTTCGTGGCGTTGCCGTCCTGACTGCTTAAAGTCCCTAGTAATGCAATGCAGACGCACTGGAAGCGAATTCATCTGATGACTAAGGGGCAGTCTGGAAACCCTGTAACGCTCAGGGGAGTCCACTGTTGAGAGGAATTGGGCTTACAGAGACTTGCCTTCTTTGTATGAGGCTATACCCCCTGACCTCCCCCCCCCTCCCCTCCTCAAGAGATTTACATTATCTGAAACTCAATCAATAGTTTGACAAGCTATGGTCTCTCTTTTGAACAGAAGCAATAGTCTTACTACAGCTTTTTTTTGGACAATTCTTAAGTAGTATAAGCATATTAACAGCGCAATATTACATTTAAAAGAGCTAAAGAGTTACACTTCAAGAATTCAATGATTCTCCGGGGGAGACCTGTTCAGGGATCAATCTCTATTATCGCTTGGAGGCGTCTGAGGATTTTGGTGGGATCACATGGTTTTCAGGGGGGGGGGTAGAGGAGGAATCAGTCGTCTCTAACAGAATTTAAAGGGGGGTTATGGGAAATTGACTTCCAATGGGAGGGGAGGGGGTGGGGGTCGATTATAAGAATGCTACAGAGCCTTACGGGGACATCAGGTAAATTTTATCGTGACAACCAAAATCCTCCACCAGCCTCTCCCCCCAAGCAAAGATAATGACCGGTCCCTGAAGGCGTTTAAACGTTCATAGTAAAACCATTCCCCGAATAAAATTCAAAGATGGTAAACTTATTTTTTCTGATTATGAGATAGTGCACGCCTTTTAGGCTTTATCAAGATATTTAATAAACGCGTGGTTATATTCGATAAAGAAAATGAAATAAACAAATCCTCATTTGCTCCTTAAGCCAGCATGTTCAGTCTTATTTCTCAGATGAGCATTGTCTCATAGAACTTCTGCCCACTATCGAATAGTCGGGCTTTCCTACCCAGGCGTTTGTGAGAGGCTCGTATCCATCGACTGTGAAATTCCGGATGCAGCCAATGAAGTTAGGTTCCAGGTTCAGACTTGTTGGAGCTCCCAGGAAATATGCTGTTGAGTTTGGTATATCAAGACGACTGTAACCTCCTGGAGTTTGCCCGGAGACTAAATTGACAAAATAGAAAAGGTTTTGTTGTTAAACAACGCGGAATTCCCATTTAAGGAAAATATCCTGAAATTCATTTTCTAAAGTTTCAAAGAGAGGATTAACCTCATTCGTTCCAACTAAGAAGTGAACTGTGCGGCTTTCTTCAGCCGCAAAGGGGCAACAAGCTATTTATAGTTTTATATCTATTTATATGTGCGGCCTCAAGAAAGGAAAACTTATCTGTCCAAGAACATTCCTTTATCTAAACAACAACCTTGGGTTCCACGTTTTTAAATGACTCTGGAAACTTCAAGTTCCTTGAAGGTGTTCCTAATCACTGCATATACTTTTTCCGTTCTTCGATTGAATGACGTAAAATCACTGTGGCCAATCATGAGAAAGGAAAATACCTTTAAGAGCCAATGAAAACCCAGGGTAAAAACAACCAAAAAGCGCGAAAAAATGCAGGTGAGCAAGTTGTGATTAGTTTAAGTTTTGAGTCTAATTGGTTGAGAGGGTGGCACAAGCAACTTTCTGGACCAATGAGCGAAGTAAAGCAAAACCAATCCCATCTTGGATTGCCTTTGACACTCGATTGAAAATTGCTGTAACTTTTATCTCTCAACCTGACCTAACTATTAGAAGCAGTGAGAAAAGAAGTCTACTTACGAGTTGCTCGGCCGTCGTCAATGTTGATGGAAAGAGATTGATCAACGCGGGTCAAATGGACCATGTGCCAGTTGTTGTCGTTTAGTCTCAGGTTCGTTGCCTCCATCTTTCGCGTTCCTGTGAAACAATTTTGCCTAACAAATCAGCTTCGATCACATACGAAACGTTTGCTGTACTAGCAGAGCAAAAGTTGAATTAGGGAGAAAAGGGAATAAGAACTGAAAAGAAAAAAGATTCCTGTCGTGGGTAAACAAGGATATTTTACTTTCTCAGTAAACAAAAAACATAGAGTCATTCTGTTTAGATGAAATGATCATGAACCGTATTTATAATTGATCCCTTTACTCGCTTGCAAAAGGTGTTGAGGGTCAAGTTACATTTATCTGCACAAACTGTGTGTATTAACAGCCATAATTGGCCTTATGACCTGGGCTGTGATGTAAATTTGCCACCGTAAAAATTCTCTTAAGCTGATGATTCGACTCCACCTTTCACTCTGACAATGTGCTACAGTATCGCTCAAAACGTCGACTTTAGAAACTCCTCATAAAGGCCAATTTACTCAGTTTATAAAAACCAAATTATCTTGTCCAACCCCCCACCGAAGCAGCTTCAAAGTTTCTTTAGAAACTCGATCATAAACCGTTTATTAACAGCCATCGCCAGTTTCAAACTGGTAGCTACGTAGAAAAAATGCAAAAAAAAAAAGCATCTACAGGTGAAAGTTATAAAACAAAATTGGCTGTAACCCTTTGAGGCGGACTAGCGATATCACCCCTGGATCACACTGAGGTCACAAGTATAAAGGAAATGATCACCAAAGAGGCTCTGTATTGTTAAATTCTCCTTGTCAGCATCTCAGGAAATGTATAGAAAACAGTACAGAGAATATGCATACTGACCTGTGCCCAGCTCAATGTGGTACATAAAAACATTGCTATCTTTGTAACCAATGTAAATGTAATCCTTGTGGAGGCCTTTGGCGTACATAATCATTCCGCTAGACTGAGAACTTTTAAACTCAAAGCGGATGTCATCATGCTTTCTGTCGTTTCTTGGTTTGAAGTTGGCAATGGTTGTGTAGCCTAATCCAGAGGTACATACACAGCGACCTGTTCAGTGAACACAAATTTAGGGACCAGTCATTTTCATCGCCTTGTAGGGATGGGGTCGGGGGATGAGGGGGACCACATGGGTTTCAGAGAGGGTTAGCAATGACTGAGAGGGTACTGTAGGTAATTGAGATTTTTTTATTCCATTCATCCCTCTCCCATCTTTTCTTTTCTCCTTTAGGAGCCTGGCTACTCAGGCTGCGGTTTTCTGATAAAGTTAATTGTTAATATTGCATTGGGGTATCAGGTAATTTTATTGCGACACAACCAAAAAATTCTTCTCCTCCTTCCCTCCCCCCTCCTCCCCCCATTCCTGCCGATATATGCTTAACTTGTAGGATACATTTACTTCACCGCAGATAGCGAGAAGCGAGAAGTCACATGCGCAAAAGCCCGCCTGCGAGTGTGCTTGCCAAGGCCATGCTACGCAGGTTAGATTGCAGCTGAACCCTTCCAGTAATACACATTTAGGCATGTAACCTTCTTCAAGACGAGTGATGTTATACTCCAACTGGAATCCTGCAGATGTTCTTGTGCTATCAGTGGTGAAAGCAAACTTGACCTTTCTTCCTTTCTTTTCTATCAAAGGAGGGAGCCGTTCTGCACTCCCCCCGCACTGTGTGTCACTGTCGCTCTCATCACTTACCACGAACTTGTCAAAATCGCACGTCGGAGAATCTACGGAGCAAAGCGATAATATCTGAGAAACTTGCCAAGTTTCATTCGCACGCAAAATATTTTGTGGCAAGGTGTTTTTTACATTATGATAGCGAAGCAAGTATCGGTCTTACATTGCAAAGAAAACTTCTGGAACCAGACAACAGTCTTGTAGTTATCAGGTACGTCCAAAGTTAATGTGCAGCTCTGGTCGTTTGGGTAGAAGTTCGGAGAGTTTGGCGAATAAAGCGCTCCTTTCATTGTTTCTGGCGAGTCAGGAGTGATCTTTATTTCTCTTGTTGGACAAATGTCAAAGCCGTTTGGTGCTGAGAAACACAATGAAGGAAAAATGTTATGCAGTCACAAACTTTGGAATTAATAGAGTAGTATTCAATTGAGTATCGAAAGCGATCCTGGATTGCTTTGGTATTGCTTTACGGTGTTTGATGATTGGTCGAAAATACTCGTGCCACCATTTCAACCAATCAAATGCCAAAAGACTACTACGAACAGTTAGTCACTCGCGTTTTGCCGCGCTTCAAGCAGGTTTTGCCTGTTTTGACTAATTGCACTAAGGGGTTCTCCAGCTCCATTTTTTTTCGATCCTTTCTATAGTCTCGATATTCTAAGAAAGAACAGTTTTCAGCTGAGCGTCGAAAAAGCAAAACCAAAGGAATCGCAGCCACCAGTCAGCCTTACATCTCACTGGAGAATTCGGCATAAGCGCAGCTCTGTCATAAGCTTAGCGAAAAAGATCTTGGTGAGTGTTATCAAATCTAACAAATTCCAAAGAAATTTCAGAGTACGACTTAAGATAAAAGTAATAATTAGCTCACAAACCGCCTTTTTAGGCTAACGTTTTCTGACAATCGTGGTCCTCATAAAACATACCATACCGTAAGACACCGTAGTGCACCGCAGGGTGCCGTGTCATGCAGTACATATAGTTTACGTCATAGAAAGTGCGGCGCACGAGTTTTATTCACGAGTTGTTTGTGTCAAAAACCCGAACGAGTGAAATACGAGAGAATGAGGGCTTTAATTTTGACACAAACAACGAGTGAATAAAACCCCTTACAAAGCACTTTCTATGTCGTGAGCTGTTTATTGCTCATAACACGAGAATTTTCATTAAAATAATTTTCTGAATGCAAATTAGAAACAACTCACTGACAATGTAAATTTAATGGCAACGGAAAATATCGCAGTACATGTGTATCAAGGGACTAAGGGCTGAACGGAAAACTGCACTTACAAAATTTTTTTTTTCTAATCTAATTACGATATCAATAAAGCAATTCAAGCAAAGGCCAAACTTAGCGAACGCTTTTAAATTGAGAATACGAGCATGGAGCAGTTGCAATAATTTTGCGATTACGAGTAAGCGAGCGCCCGTGTAGTTCTTTCGAGCAATTCGATTGGTTATACACGTGAAAGAGCTGTACGCCATTCTGATTGGCTGTATAGCAGGGGGCTTTTTTCACATGTGAAAACAAAGCGTAAAAATTTCTACAAATGAGCTTTACGGAATAAAATTCTCGTGTTATTTGTAATAAAGTATGGTATCGTACCATGCCGTAACACATAGTTCCGTAGCGCGCCTTACTAGTCCATTCCTCAGTGTACCTTACTGTTATGAACCGTGCCATAACGTACCGCACCACACCGTAAAGATACATACCCCCATCATACCGAACCGTACCATACCATACATTACTATAACAGCTTCACCATAACCTGTTTGGCAGCTTACGCCCGGAAATTTGGTCAATCAAGAGAATGTTCCTTCATCACCGATCTTCTAAGCTAAAAAATTTAATCTTGAATGCTAAGGAAGTGAAACGTTACCGGCTCTGGCAAATGGCAGATGCTCATTTTGAGCATGTTTCGCAAAGATTACCGGGCACTTCGCCAACAACTGACGGCAAGTTGACCAAAGATGTCGGCGAATTGACTTGTCGGCGAAGTGACCGGTTACTTCTCCACTACAAAGTGGCAGGGGAACCGCAACAGCAGGTAGGCAAGTTACCGCGGGCCCCGTAATACCCACCCATCCAATCCCAGGGGAGAAAATCCACCACCCCACCCTTGCAAAGCAAAAGAAAGGCTGAAAACGGATAGAAAATGATACATTTTACTTACCGAGTTGTATCCCACCTTCGACGGAGGTGAATGAAATGTTGAAACCTCTCATTTCAATGCTACTGTCCGATTCAAAGCCGATGGAAATCTTATTTCCTGTCGATGTATGCTCCGAAGGAGTTCTTCTGCCGCATTATCTAGTGGTTCTTGGGCCATCGATGATGAGCACAGCGTCATAGTTACACTCGTTTGGATCTGCAAAAAAGCTCGTATATCACTTGCAGTTTAAAGCTGCTCTCACACACACAAAAAAAAATGTTTATTCTCAGGAGCTTCTACCAAGAGTTATTAAAGGAGAGCAGCTTGCCTGAAAGCGACGCAAAGGCAAATGGATTGTCCATGCCGTCGGCTACGGTATTAATTGAAGTGAAAAATGTTACATCTAAAGTTTCTTGGGGAATTTGAGCCACGCTTTTAGCTCTACGTTCTTGATTAATGATACCGGGATGATAATAAATGGAAATTACGAAGTTTTCTTTGTTTGTTTGTAAAGATTTGTACGTTTTGTACAGGTGGGAGAACAATAGGACCCTTAATCCCCTACTAGGTTCCCCCACCTAAACCCAACACACCCATCCCACCCCAGGGAAGGACATCCATTGCACAGTAATCTCGTGCGTGGGAAATTAACGTCTCCTACCCCTAACCCTGCAGGAGACGGGACCTCCATTTATTCATCCCTATAGAGCGCTAACCCTTAATCCCCTACTAGGTTCCCCCACCTAAACCCAACACACCCATCCCACCCCAGGGAAGGACATCCATTGCACAGTAATCTCGTGCGTGGGAAATTAACGTCTCCTACCCCTAACCCTGCAGGAGACGGGACCTCCATTTATTAGCCCCTATCTGAGAAGACTAGAATATCTAACCATTTCTTGATGTTATAGAAAGGTAGCATATTCTTCTCACTTGTTTTAAGACCTTGAGTGTTGGTCCGGCCGGGGCTCCAACCCTCGACCTCCCGCACAACAGTCCAGCGCTCTATCCACTGAGCTAACCGGAAGGCGGTTGTAGCTAACCGGGAGGCGGTTACGAACGTTAGAGAATTTAGCACAACATGATACTTATAAGACTCTTAGCAAATAAAGAAAATGAAAAAAATTCAGTTCATAATGAACTTACCATTTTCGTCTTCTTCAACTTCAAAATATTCAAACTTTAGTTTGATTTTAACATTGTTTCCTCCATCAATGGTCAAAGTACAGTTTGAATCAGAAGGGTAAGCGTTTGGAAAATTCGGTGAAGTGACTTCTCCTTGCCTGGCCTGTATCTCACGAGTAGGACAAACAGAAATCCCTAGGAACAATCATTGTAATTTGTAAACAGTTCCTTCTAACAATGTTAGAGGTTTGTGACTTACACAACGAGGTTAATAAGATTTTTGTTTTATCTCTTGGTTCAAATAGAGGGGAGACAATTTTAATTCTAACATTTTTTTTTTTTTTTAATTTAACGGGTTGAACAGTGAAATACGTCTCGCCGAATTGACCAATCTAAGCGCGCAACGTACTGACCGATACCTATATCCCTGATCCCACACACGCGCGGGTAGTCTGCTACACAGCCGTTGTTAGAGGCGTCACGCAAAGTGGGGAGGAGCGTTGCGTGACGACCCTAAGAACGGTTGTGTAGCAGACTAACGCGCGGGTGGTTCAATTTTAAATTCATATACGGTACGTTTTTTGTACATTCGATTCCGCTGAAAAACAACAGAAAAGAGCCTGATATTAAATCCAAACATTTGCAAATACAGGTCGGAAAAAATAGTTCGTTGATGATTTAATAATAATATTATTATTATAACTCGTGGTTCAATTTGAGGTCGTTTTGCTGCTAAATACCCTCCAGTAAGTGGTCGGAAACAGTAAAAGACGTGGAAGCACGATAAACAAAGTACCACAAGTCATTCTGCACTTCTATTAGCAGACTGAATTTTTCCAGAATAAAAATAATTTTAACAAAAGTAGTTAGCGCTCTTTTCTGCTTCACCAGCACTAGTTAGTTCGTTTTCTTGAAGCTGCCTTGATCAAATTTCATCTTTGACTTATACTGACTTGTATTACTTTTTTGCCACTATTTATGACCCTTGTTTATCTCGTAAAAGGCTAATTAAAAAGTTCAATGACGCTCAGCAGTTTTCTTGTCCTCCGATCTTTCCGCTGAAAAAACTCACATGATGTACGAAGGCATGGAGCTTGATTTCCTCTCGATTTTGCCCAATCGTCCTTAATTACCGTTGTTTTACTCCTCTTTGTACTTTACACTGCATACTATTTTAGAACGTTTCATCATTTTATATCGCTTAATCATTCTAGAACGTTTCACCATTTTAGAACACTACATCATTTAGAACGTTCCTCAAAAAAAAAACCCTTCAGATTTATCACGTGTTCTGAATTTCAAAAATACATTTCAAGCTCAACTTGGCCTGAGACGATAGCAGAGCCATCAACGAGAGACTGCATTCAAGACCGTTACGTGGCAGGGTAATGTTTTTGTCAAAAGCCAACATAGAAACCATGAAGTTCATTAATAAGGATTGAAGAGTTATAGAACTGAAATCCACAATCAAAAACGTTTATCCATAATTCAATCGGACGATTTTCAAGAGTGAAAAGGAGCAAAACCGATTATAACTGCCGACCACTCAAAGGGATTAGTAAGTTACAATACAGAGGTTTGGAATAAAGACACCAATTCGACTCTTTAGTCCATAATTCCGTCAATAACTACCACTCGGGAATTCTAGAATTCACTTATGGTTTACATTTTACAATTAACAGTTCATTTTAACGGTTTCCAGTAATGGTATATGGCGCTCGACTAAAAAATATACCTTGTCTCATTTCAAATTTTCATTAATTCCATATTGTCTTTTTAAATGAAAAACAGATTTGACATTTCTATAAATCCCTTCAGAAAGTTGGGAGGTAAGAGGGAGGGGAGCATATGAAAAAAAAAAACGAGCTTAAAAGTTTAAAGTGAAACTCTTGTTTTGTGGGAGAGTTCTCAAACTGATTTCAGTTCGATGAGTAAACCTGCAGAAGGCGTATAATTGATAGCGTGGAAGAGCTATCAGAGAAATATGAATTCGTAGCAGAAAAGCAGAACAGGCAGAAGATTTTGTACGCATTGCTTAGAGCGTTCTTTACTGAGCTCATTCCAGTGGCGTTGAGTTTTCCGAGTTCGCTGTTTACGCAGACTAGTTTTCTACTCACTCACCCATAATTTGGTACACCAACGCATCAAGTGAAAGACACAGAAGTATCTTATTCTTCATGGTTTTTTGCCTGAAATCAGAACAAAAGCAGCGTATTTTAACGTTCGAGTGTGTTGGATGCCCACAATTATGCTCTCCTCAAAAGTCCCAAACACAAGTGGTTAGCACTCAACTAGATGGTATAATTTAATTTTCAAGGGGCGTTAAGATCAATATCTGCCAAAACTTCAGTCACGAGGCAATATTGGCTTTCACGACAGACGGTGTTAAATTGCTGTAACTGATATTGTCGCTGGTATTTAAAGACGTACGGCGAAACTAAGCAACATTTGATCATCTTAGAAAAATAACATTACCTCTATCAACTATTTTCACCACCAAAAGACAAACGTGTCACGGTCATTGTCAACGGAGCTTTTTTCTCACACTCACTTTATCGAGAAGTAATATTTTCTGTAGAGATACTGTACTAGAAATTTTTGCGAGTATATCGTGATACGATGTTTTTACCACTGATATTGACCGTATGACTTTCTGGTTAACTAAGTCAATTAAATTGTCTGAGTTTCGCATTAAGATAATATTTCAATGACAATTGTTATTTCAGCCAGCTCGATCAGATCCAAAAAAATTAATAGCAACAAAATGATCCCAACTAGCCGAGTATAACCATTTCAGCCTTTCGAAACTACTACAATTAACTTTGATGATTTCGCTGCAGTCTTATATCTCACGGGAGAACTTAACATAAGCTTAGCTCAATATCTAGTTCTTCTAACTAATGTTTGCAGGGATGATGAGAATTTTGGGTTAGATAAATCCATGTTTTGATGTTTCTTCTGCCCACCACTCAACCGTGCTAAAGTGTGATGTATCGATCTCGTGAAAGGTACTGACTGTTTACCCATCAACCCAGAGGCATCACACGGGTCCCCTAACCGTAGATATTCATTTAGATTGTTAACAGTTTGTTTAACCATGGGTAAAAGCGACAAAAGAAGCACAGATGATAATGATTTGAGTCATGTATGTTTTTCTTTGGGCCTCTCGCAGAGAAATGGTCATGAGTGAAAATAACTCACACGGGGACCGTCAAATTAATTAAAAGCTTTCGTGTTGGGCTGTATTTACTTTGATTCTTGTCGGGATGAAACAAATCACACTCAAACCAGGACAGAACAACTTAAGGGAGGAGGCAAAGTAAGCTATTCTCCTTCATTTTATAGAGGGGCATGACACCAAATATTAGTTCTTTGCATCTGTTATCGGAATCCAGGTGTCCGTCTATTTCAGTGAGGATGCATTAGACCTCTAATAGCATTCAGGCTTCGAGGAAAATTAAAAATTAGCTAATTAGTTTAAGCTAGCATAAGGAGAAGGTTTACCCATAGTTTCTTAAGCAAAGAAGAGAAGCTAATAGAAACGTGCAATAATTAAAACCAAACACGAAACTGCTAATTTCAGGAAGCAATTTTGCTGATCCATAGCATGGTTGAACGATAAAAATAGCTTTAAGCTATCCATCTTTGACAGAGGAAAAGAATGAAAGAGAGAAAGAAAGAATAACGGGAAAAAAAACACTTCTCAGTCTCGAGACATAACTGAAAATCTGTGAAACTTGATTTGAACGAACGAATTGAACGAATTGTTCAATCAACGGGATTCATCAAAGAGTGTTCCTACTTTTTGGCGCTCAAAGAATGGTGGCACTCCACAACCGAGAAGGCTAAAAATGAAATAATAACAGTGCGGCCTTACCTTAAACTTATTAAATACGGTAAGGACGTTTTGGTTGTTGAACAAAAAGTAAAATGTTGTGAAATAATGACAGTCTTTCAGCCTTGATACATTTATTGTTTAATTACTACCCTGCTGTGCTGGTTTCCACCCCGTCCCCCTTCTCCTCCCCACCTCCCCCCCATCCTGAGGAAACACGTTGGAATTTCTCCATCAGTTCTTACGGCTGAATTTCAGCCTTGAAGAAAAATAAAAAACTGTAAATCGCACCTATTTTACCACCCAGAAGATGGCCTGGAACAGGAACTGAGGTCGAGGACCTTCGTCACTGCACTGTACGCCGGTAAGCACATAAACCGAATTTCGGAAAACATTGAGTCGTAAACCAAAAAAAAAACCCTATACAATATACAAAGGGCATCAAATTACCCCCACCATCCTCTCCCATGGTGCAAGAGTCAACTATGCAACTGGCTCCTCGTAGTCTCCTAAACTAGCAAGAATTTCCTGTTATTCCATTCAGACACAGCAGGCGCGGGAAAAAAAAGGCGTTATTTAAACTTTCGGCGGAAGAGTAAAATAATAAGCTCCATTCTGTAAAGGATACCGAACTATTAATGTTTTCACGGGGTGCAAGAGAAATACATGGGATTATGTTTAAGTCGCTTCCAACATAACTGGAGCTTTTTGGGCAAATGTGATGCTGAAACAGTTGAGAGTTACTAGAAGTTTTTTGAGACTTCGTCACAAAGGAAGACGAATTAAAATTAGCTTAGTCCATCTCATGCTACAAAGTGAATTACAAATCGAATAAAGCTTCGTCATTTCTGTTGATATTCCAAACACCATTTGTTTTTAATCTTCGTACAAAAAGCCGAACAGGATATCAACTTACAAGTGCACCTTCACTCATATGATCAAATTTGTTACACAACCACATCATTACAAAATACGAAATGTACCCCCGACTTACTTTCTGTACGTGGATTTCTCACACTAGCTCTCGCTAAACATTATTTTGATTTCCTGACATTCCTTTAATTGCCACTGTAAGTAGACTTGGAAGAGCCTTTGTCTTTAGCGTTAAAATGTTTATCCCATTTTTGATTCTAAAGAGCATTTGTGGCTATAGTCCCCAGTACAACTAGAAGCGCAGGTACAATTTCAATTTATGTCCGAAGAAAGTAATTTTCTTTTGGAGTTTCCGCAATTTTTTTTTTTCGACTTAGTTGTGCGACTTTTGGTATAAAATCAAACCAGTTGTAAAATGGACATCATGTTTAAAGTTTGTTTAAAGGAGATGCTTGATTGAAAGTTTTTCAGTATCATGGTCTCACTCGTTTCTGCACGTAGATGTCGTAAAAAAAAACAACAACCACAACAAAAGCAAAGGAAAAAAAACAATACTCCTGCTGCAACATAGATTCATGATGTCGTTAAGAGTAACACTTAAAATAATAAAGAAACATGAATTCACAGACTGACCAGTGGTAATGAAGGGCGAAAAATGTGCCGCAAGCCAGGTGAGAGAACAGTTCTTTCCTTCGCCTGGAGGGACCTAAAACAAACTCCAGGTTTGACAACAATCGGCTCGATTTAATTGCTGAATGCGTATGAGCTGACAGTAAATTCATACTAAATTTCACAATACATAAGCCGGAAATGACTCATGTAACTCGGAGAAAGAGATAACGAGTCAAGTGTCACGCCATCTAACCTCAGTGTGTTTGTAAAACTCCGACAACTCAGTACCAACTATATTACTTGTCATTGCCAAGAACTGAAATGGGACCAGTCATTGCTAGGCCGCAAAGGCAATAAAAGAGTGCAATGAAATCTGAAATGAAACCAAACTTTGTACAATGTTCTAATGCAGAAAGCTATGCTCTGAAGCAGCTAACTGTGCGCATGTCCCTAGCTATCAACTAAGATGTTGCTTTCTTGATAACACTAAAACAATATTTTTACACTGACCGGCTCAACTTTAAGTTCTTCACGACGGCGACACAACGACGCGAGAAAGTTATAAAATTTGAAATTCACCCTGAGGCCAAAACAATGCAACTTTAGCGTATTGTTAGGAAACAAGATAAGCAAATGGTCTCTTTGAATGCCACAAATACTAACCTTTAAGCATAGTTATTAGGAAATTACAAAGTTATTTAAAATCGAACCCAGCTTGGGGGTTCGCAGACAACTTGCACAGTACGAGAGCAGCGCCGAATTTTATGGACTTGTGACGTAATTAGAAAAACTCCAATGCAATCAAACATCGTTTGTACTAGCTGTAAATAAATCTTTACCTCAGGGTTCATTTAGTGTCATTTATATTCAAATTTGCTGTTATTGGTACTATGATTACACCAGACGCCATGCGGGTAAGTTGAAAACAACGCATTAATGAAAAAGTTGAAACTAGTATTTCGGGTGCCCGTTCGCAAAGCAACAAATCCAGTCATGAAACCTGCTGATTACTAAATATCAAGTTTACGGCAAGAGTACCCGGTATAACCCCATACATTAATTATGCATTCAGACTAGTAGACTTTGTTTTTAAAGTTTTGTCGTGAAAGACAACGAAGTGAAATGCATAATTAATGTATGGGGTTATATGGTACTCTTTCCCAAGTTTACTGTATGGTGAGCACTTCGCGCTGAAACGTTTTGAAACATTTTACGACACAACTGCACTGTGAATAAATTCTACCTGGTTGAAGGATAGCTATGCTATGCTATGCTAATATGCTTCTCTTAAAAATTCATTTGTCCTGAAAAGGCAACGACGAACTAGTTCGGTATCCAGAAACATCTGTGAGACAATACAGGATATTTTTAAACGACACAAGTTTGTTTATTCAGCCCGAAATGAGAGCAGATTAATATTCAACTACATCTTCCACAGTCGGATACCACAAGATACGCAAGAAACGTAAAGACTTACAACGAATTCGAACATTACAATATTACAACTTACGAGGAGTATAACTCAATTGGAGGCAGAGAGAACAAAACAATAGCGATTTTACTAAACACTGGTGAGACTAGCTACGTATTACCTTCTATCCTGCCTCACCACGGATTCTCCAAGCGTCTGAAGGCTTAATCGTCTTGTTGTATGAGCCACTAATTAAACACTTTCTTTTACAGCCGTGGTCGGGCACTATTAAACAACTGACGGAAACTACAACTTTCAGTCTAAGGTGAAGTTTCTCGAGTGGAAGGGCGTTATGAAACTTACCGGAAAGCGAGGTCAAGACTCGAGCACCGGAAAAGCCTCACTGAGATTAAATGTTTTGTTATGCAAATCACAAATATTTATGGTCTCGTGTTTTTGTTTTGAATCATTTTAACCTTATCACAGACTTTGAATAACATAGAGATGTACATGTAGTTAGAAAAGCAATTTGTTTGCATATTTGGCCAGGTTCAGCCAATTTTCACATTGTTTTTTCCTCAGGAAGTAATCAATTCTAATCATATCCTAGATTACGTTGCATTTAAAAAAGTATACCTTTCGTAAGCTTCAAGGGGAAGAGCAAATGTTGTATAGGAGCAAAACTGAGTTGAACTCCAGGTAATGCGTACGCTGGCTGAGCTGGTTTTGCAGGACTTTAAGATTGCGCTGAACACTGAGGACTGCTAACTAAAGAGAAGTTCGGGAAACTTGATCAGATGACTAAAAGTGGCTTAATGTAGAAAACCTTTGATGATCAAAAGTTGTATTTTTTTTTTGCGCAAGCTGAATAAACGTAATCAGTAGCCTGTGACCCTGAAAGGATCAGTTAAAAGAACTACGCAAACACTGTGCACTCGCTTCGCCACTTTGGTGAAACGTTCTCAACGTTCTTCATACCTTCTTCTTTCATCGACGAGAATTTCGGTCAGAACACAAAACTACAAATTTTTGCTATTTAGAGAAGGAGGGAAGGTAAAAATTTCGAAAACATTCCATTCCTCCCTGCTTTCCTGCTTTATAATGGCAATAGTTTGATTTTTTCGCACATACTCTACATATGCCTTCAACTCTGGCCATTTTCCCACAAGGTAGGACAGCTCTCGATCACCCGGCTCTTGCATTGAATTGCACTAGGTACCAGTCACAATTGAGAAACTAATTCTTTGATCAAGAAAAACAAACAAAACCACTCAGAAAAGGCAATTTTAATCTATCATCCCCCAAAACTTATTTGACATGAGTTCTTAGCTGTCAATGGAGGAATATTAATTTCTGGTTGGAATATCAGTGAAATATAAGCTAAAATACATTCAGTGAAAACGCAAATAACAAATCAAAATAACCGAACAGCCATGACTGGGATCGAAAAACATGCTTTTGATAATTAAGGAATGTAACCAACAATTTTTTTCACTGTAGGATGGATATCAACTTTCAATATCTTTTCTAATTCTGCTCGTCTGAGTTCTTCTCTCCTTTCAATATTTATGTTTTTGTTCTATTTTTAATCACCGAACTAAATGCGTTTGACTTAATTAGCTACCACGCCCTCAGTAATGGGATTGCAATTTGATTCCTCAGCAGGAGGTAGTTAGGATCCCATGGGGGACAAAAAAATAAACAAAGTGTACAAATGATTTATTTAGCGTTCCAAAACTCAATAAAAGCTATCTAGTTTTTTTGAGGATGTTCTTCAAACTTGACTCCCATCTCTTAGTTGCTAAATTCAAGGATCTGGTGAAGAATAAAATAAAAATAAAATACACTGAATAAAACGAAACACAACGGGACAAACTAAAACAAAAAAAAGAAGAGAAATAAAAATAATGAAAAAAGTCCTGAACATGAACAATGAGGGGGCTGACATAAATCGAATGTTTCATATTTGCTGGGTAAATTTGTCTGTGCGTCTATTCCTTGAATATTCCTTGACACTTATGGAAAAATCAATTATCTTATTGCAAAGTAAATTTAAATCTTTTACAAAAGACGATCCTCGCTGTTTTACTTTTGATGAGTTAATCAGTCTAAGAATGCTGACTCGAGGCTACTGTTCTCAGACCAGAAAGAAAATCGACATGAGTAATAAATCAAAGACTACAGTCTTCATATATCAGTTCACTTGAAAAAAATAGTTGAGGACGATATGCGAATCACAAACACCTTAATTGAAATATTATCATGAGATGTTCTACGCTGTGCTATA